AAAATAATTAAAATTTAAATTTAAATAATAAAATCCTAAGATCCTATTATATAATATTTAAGAATTAGATTTCATGAATAATCATAACCTAATAGATTGGATATGATAGCCATATAAAATCATAAAATCATATATATTTAAGTTTTCTTTAAATTTTTTGTTGTACCACATCTCCACCTTTTTTATTATATAAATTCAGCTTAAATTAATTAAAAATTTCCATTATTATGTGTGTTGTCACCATATTTCATCCAATTACAAATTAATACAATTATTATTAAAATTTACTTTCCAATTAAAAGTTAATACAATTAAAATTTTCATTTTTTTGGCCACAAACTTTGGATACACACCAAACATTTATTTTTAGTCACTTAAAGAAATTTGAACTTGAGTGGATTATGGAAAATACTGAAGGAGGAGAAGAGACCGAATATATAAATTTAAATTATGCTCCCAAATTAAATAAAGAGATGTACAATTGGTTAAAGGTCAAACTCAAGGTGATTGTGACGAAAATGATGTTCTTGCTATCCCACCTCTAAAAGAGGAGAATTTATTATTAATGTGTTTAATGAAGAAGTAGAGCAAATGAAGATACTTTTAGTTTTTTAGTTTTTTTAATTTGAATGATTTATATTAGATGAATTAAGTTTAATGAAGTATTGAGAAAGTGATCAATTTTATAAACTTAAGTTTGATTAAGTGTTGTGAAAGGATAAATTTTATTTTCATGAGTGTGTATTTAGTGATATATATTATTTTGTATAAAAAGAAAAATCTATTATCTACGTTATGATTCCAAATTTTACGATGATATGAACCTTTCACAATCTTAAATATAATTTCAATTTTAACTAGCGTATTCCTGATCCAATTATATTTTCAGGATAGTATATTTTAGTCGTTCAATTATAGTGAAACATCTCTAATACTAATATTAAATATGTTTTTATGTTAAAAAAATTAAAATAATTGAATTAAAATAACTATGTTATTTATTTTTAAAATTATAAATTATAATGTATTAAAATTTTAAACAATAAAAATTATTGTAAGAACCTGAAAATATGAATTAGAAAGTAACAGGTTATTAAGTTAGTGAAACTAGAAATTTTGCATTTAAAAGCCCATTTTCAAACATCTTGGTTCATTAACCCAACTCCATTCTCTCTCTAAAAACTCAGTTCTTTTTTTTCTCTACCTTCTCTCTACCACATCTATGCCTTCTCTCTTCCAGTCCTCCTCACTGAGCCACTGGATTTCTGTTTAGGTGGTGCTCAAACGTCCGCGACGTAGAGGGCTTCATAACCATCCGATTCGTTTTGAGTTCTAAGCTGGTAAACCCTCCATGCAACCTCTTCTCTGTCCTTGAACTAGCACATGCAATCTCTGTTAGTTGTATGTGTCTTATGCCTTCCTCTTCTTCAATTTTTCCACTCCATTCTAGCTCTAAGAGCTATTTCTGTCACCCGTATTTTGTAGAGTTTTGTTGAGTTCTCATAACTCAAGGTACTGTTAAGGCAAGTCTTTGAGTTAAGCTGTGAAATCTTGAGGTAAGGGGAGCTAGATTACTTTCTTATAATTTTTATGTTATGTGTATGGACTAATCTATGCATTATTCTGCTGTTTGGATTATATTTTTAAGTTTTGAGTGTGTGTAATGGTACATGGTACGTACTATCATGTTCATATGTGAATCTATGAAACTGTGTTGTGATGTTTGGAATTGATTTGGATGGGTTTGAATTGTTATAATTGACCAATTGGAAGTGAGTATAGTGTGAAATCTGTTATAACTTTGGTTGGATAGAAAATTTGGAGTTTTTATAGTTCTTAGGTCACTTTGAGAGGAAGTGAGGTAGTGACTTTGAGTACTGGAGGTTTTGAGTGTGTTTGGGCTCTTTGGATAGCTCATATAGGTCAATTTTGACTTGTTAGGAACCTCAAAATGGTCTAAAATGAGTTACAAGTGATAAAACTGGATTTGGCTCTCTAAGTTGTTGATTTTGGTGTTCTAGAGTAGGAATTGAGTCTTAATCACTTTAGAATTGTAGTAGGAATGTTTATAATCATCTAGACAAGTTTAATTAGGTGTAATACAGGAATTAGGGGTGTTAGAAATTGGATAAGAGGCCTAGAAATGGTAAGGGCTGGTGGGAGTATATGATTCTACAAAATTTGCTTTCTGCAGATGACGCAGAGTCGCTATGCGAGCTGTCTCGCATAGCGAGACCCTGTAGAGGGTGCTCATTGTCTGGGTCATTCGTTGTGCGAGCTGGTGCGCTGTGCGAATGACCAGAGGGTGTTGCTCTCTGTTTGTGGATTCGCTTAGCGAATCATGTCGCTATGCGACTAGTGATGGTCTGGAACAACTCTTATTTTAATTCGAAGGGCGAGTTTGGGCGCATAGCGAGTCTTTGGGAGGGGTGGTCTCTGTTTAGGCTCTCGCATAGCGACATGGGTGCGTTATGCAAGAGGTTGGAAGTCTGGTGCATGTAGTGGGTTAATTCGCATAGCAAATTAAGTGGGTGCGCTATGCGAGGGACATGAGGTACAACACCTCAGCGAGTTAATTCGCCTTGCGAGTGAGGGTGCACTGTGCGAATCCTTTGAGTCCAGTCTTCTCTTTTGCTCTCTTTTTGGTTGAATTAAGTGTGTTGAATGTTTGGAATGCATAGTATGATGGTGGTAATGTGATTATATCGAAAGTATGCGAGTGTATGAAACATGTTCGGTGATTGAAAGTATGTGGTTTTAAAAGTATGTGGTTTTAAAAGTATGGTGTAATTCCATGGATCTCAAAGGGAGGTTACATGGTGGTGCCCTATATTATTGGACATAATTCCATGATCTTTAAGGAGAAGATTCATGGTGGTGCCCTTAGTGTTTAGAATGATTTGCATGGTAGCTCAGTCTTGGGGGTTATCCTGAAACTACAATGGTCAATCATTATCAAGTAGAGAAGATTAAATCATGTCGTGAGTAGTAGCAGGAGGTCCTAATCTTGGGTGCTTCCAGTATGGCCCAAGGTGAGTGATAACGGACTAACCTCGTGAGTGTGGTAGGGTGAAACCCATTGACAATGGCTTTGCAAAGCAGTAGAGGCCACCACGAGTGCATGACCCGCCATAACTCGACAATCATTCTAAGTCCGACGAGTCAAGTTTAAAGTGCAACAAGTCATGTTTGTGTAGTCTAATATATATATATATATATATATATATATGTCCTTACTTGCATGTTGTCTGTGATTGTTATAACATGAATTTTTTATATCTAGCCACCCTTACTTCTGTGTTTGTGCTTTGCTTGGGTATGCTTTTCTTTTGCAATGATCATTCACTTGGATATGAACAGAGGTGGATGAAGTGCCTCTGGAGCAGGCTTTGGAGGAAGATGATAATGCTGCTTAGTTTGTTTAGGAATTCCTTAATTAAGTTCTATTGTGTTAAAGTTTCAAGTTATGATACATTTTGGGATGACTGTAACTCTAATACTTTACTTACAGTCTACTTCTAACTTTTCTCTTATATTAAAATGTAAACTTACTATATTACTTACTATATTATATGCTTCTATATAATCTGGGATGTTTTATATAAAATTTAAGAATTAAAATTATATTCAACTAAAATTTTTGTTAAAAAAAAAAATAAAACTGTCGGAGACAATATTTCCAACAAACCCATACAGAGACATTAATGTTGGTCTGGATCCGTGCAAGGGCGGAGGCTCATGAATCATGTGAACGGGTGCTATTAGGTCTGCTTGGTCAATTAGGCCTTTACGTCTGAATTCATTTTTTAGGTATTTTCAAAATTTTAGTGGGTGAGTTATAACATTTTGTATTGAGAATATTTTTGTAATTTTTAAATCTATTTTTATTTAATGTTTTTAATATGATACATTAAAAGAATTATATATTAAATTATCTTCTTATATTTAATAATTATAATTAATTGTTTAAGTCTTAATCATTTAAGTTATATTACAGTTACATATTTTATATCATGTATAATGCAAAAAGAAATAACTTTTTAAACAAATTTTTATTTTAAATTTTATATATTTAAAAAGATTTTGCTTAGCAGATTCATTGGTACGTGAGTTGTTTAACAGACCTGACTTTTTTTTTTGTTCATCAGTTAACTTTTTTTTATTTTCTTTAATAGGAAACTTTCAATTCACAAATAGATTTTTAAGATAATTATCTCATTATATAAGAAGAGAAACTAAATTAAAGTTATACAACTTTCATTAAATATTACATTATTTTTATATTTTAGATTGAAACATGTTTTTAAAAATTAATGTTGGAGTAAAAATTTCTTTAATATAGATTATATACACTAAATTTATGTTATTTTAAAATAGTTTAATGCTTTAATAAATGAAACATAATTTATGTTTACTAGATTAAAATAAAATATAGTGAATTATGAATAACTTGTTCACACTCATGCACATTTGTCAGAAAATTCTTTATACCTGACTTGAAAGGAACCACTGAGTCAAAAATACCGGTGATACAAAATTTTCCATTTAAAGCTAACACTAATAATTAATTAATTAGAGAAAGTAACTCATATTTTACATGAATCTCACATCTTAGCAAGTGATTTGTAAGTATATAAGTTCACTTTTTACTACCCAATGTCCTTGTTAATGTGAGAATTTTCATTGGTGAAACTTGATCCTCGTAAATTCTAATTCTTTTTAGTACACAATCAATAAGTACATTGATAAATCTCGTGGAATCTTGAAACATATAGAAATTTTGATTAGTTAGCTATATTCAATTCATACAAGTTTTTTATAAACAGAATATAATCATAGAATAAAAGAGAATGATTAAGAAATTAAAAAAAAAAAGGCAAAAGGAAAAGTAAGTATAAGAAGGATGTGTCCATCAAATCAGCCAAAAGATTAACAGGAAGTAAGCTGTAACCTTCACTTCACTTCCTCGTCTTGTCTCTGTTTCAATCGTAGTACAAACTTTCTCTCTCTCTAAAAGCTTTATATCCTTCACTTCACACTCCACTTCATACATCACAAGTATTTTTCTCTTCAATTTTCTTCTCATTGTATGTCACTTGGAATTTTGTACAACTACACGTTCTTCTAGGCGCGACCTTTCATAGTTTGCAATTAAACAAACTATCGTGACCACATAGATTCCTGTACGATCTTTTTTATTGCTTACTTTTTTACGCAGGTCTTTCTTTTATTGTTTAATTATTGGGTTGTTATTGCTGATGATTTTCCAGGTTCAATAAGATTTATGGTGGGAGAGAACTAATCATTGGACCCAGAAGCAAGTTGCGGAGAAAGTTTGAATTTTGACGAGATTGTGAATGTGGGAATGGAAGCACGGATGAGAAAGTTCCGACAATTGAGTCCAGAGAGGGCCAAAGTGTGGACGGAAAAGTCCCCAAAGTACTATCAGAATCGGAAGGTGCCGGTCGTTTACTATCTTTGCAGGAATAGGCAGTTAGAACATCCTCATTTCATGGAGGTTCCTCTTTCATCCCCTGATGGGTTGCTTCTGAGAGGTACTTTTATTTTATATGAAAAACGGAAAAGTATTTGATTTTGTTTGTTTTTGTTTGTGGGGTATGATTTTTTGAGGGGTTCTTTGTGTGCAGATGTGATTGAGAGACTAAACGCCTTGAGAGGTAGAGGCATGGCTTCTTTGTATTCGTGGTCTTGTAAGAGGTGAGGAAGTTATTTAACTCCTTGATCAGTATCTTCTCTTGGTGTTGATTTTGTATGCTGAGAATAAGCGAGCTTGAAAAATGAATAAATGCCGAGAGTTTACTGGTAGGGTCTGTTCTTGTCCCTTGTTTCTCTTCTGCATTTTGGGAAAGTCAACGCAGGATGATGTTCATTTCATTTGTTTTCTCAGAAGAATAGTAATGGAAGAAATCGAGAGTATCTTTTCCCAATGTTCATTGTTTTAGTTGGATGAAGCGGTCGAGATTGTTGAGCTGTGTTGTTGCTTCACCCCATGATCTAATTTTCACCATGTATGTTTGTTTTATTATGTTGTTCAGAAGCTACAAAAACGGATTCGTGTGGCATGATCTCTGTGAAGACGATCTAATTCTACCTGCTCATGGAAATGAGTATGTCCTCAAAGGTTCTGAGCTATTTTACGAATCAAATTCAGGTTAAGAATGTTATTTTCAATGTTTTGTTTGCCTGAATCATGGTGTGTTTTCTTAGGTCCTGTTGAGATCTTATAATGATTGTGGATTTCGCCTTGCAGAACGTTTTGACCCTACTAGCACTGTGAAAACACAGAACCTGAAGCAGTTGCCAGAGCCTGTTTCTTGTAGGAGCCATGATGAGGCTTCCACCTCTTCCAGCATGAATGAGAAAGATACAAGAAACTCCCAAGAAGATGATGAACTTTCGCCAAGACAACAAGCCGGTTCATCTGACGTGTCTCCTCAGTCTAGAGCTGGAACAAGTGATTCTCTTAGCTTACCATTGACAGAATACAAAATCTACAAGACTGATGGATTGGCAGATGCTTCAACTCAGACAGAAGAAAATATTGGCAAAACCGAAACCCAGAAAACGTGTACCAGGGGTGTATCAACCGAGGATGATGGGTCATTGGATCAGGAATGCCATGAAATAAGTGATACTCAAGTGAAAGACAATTCTGAAATTGGTAGGGATACTATTTCTCCTCTCCCCTCAACTTCTAGTCCATCATCTTCTGGAGGGAAAACTGAGACTTTGGAGTCCCTTATAAGAGCTGATGTGAGTAAAATGAACAGCTTTAGGATCCTAGAAGAGGAGCGTATTCGAATGCAAACCAATGCAAGGCTGAAAGCCTCAAGTCTACTAATGCAACTGATCTCATGCGGGTCTATATCTGTGAAAAATCATAGTGTTGGCCTTATTCCTTCTTACAAGACCAGGTTTTCCAATTCCAAATTCCCCTCCCCATTGTTCTCATCTTCTGTTATGTTTGGGGAATTTGACTGTCTAGCAGAGAAAACGAAGGTGATGGGCCTCAAATTGGAAGACAAAGAATATTATAGTGGGAGCGTAGTGGAGTCTAAAGTACTGAAGGAAGAAGGTGGACATAATGTTGTTCTAAAACACTCTTCTTCTTACAATGCTGAGAGGTAGGTTTTTGCTTTCAGTTCATTTCTTGCAACATGACAAATTAGCATTAGGTAGAGTTACTGTTTCCATTCCCAAAATCATGGTTTATCACATATTGCTGTTTGGTTTGTTGCAAATGGAACACACTAGTCATTAATTCGGAGAACTCTTGTTCATCGCTGAGGAAGCAAGTGCTTGAGGAGTGACCATTTTTTCTGTATTATTCTTTCAAAACTGAATAATGCTGGATTAGGCCACATTACCTTATAGATTGTGCCATAGTACAAAAATAGAAAATGCCTGAATCCGGTGTTAAAATGCTTGTTACTGAGTGTCCGGATTGAACCAAACAAAACGAATGATATTGTAGTTAGAAACACAAACGATCCTCTGAGATGCCAGTTAATCATTATTACCAATTCAAAACTCAGATGCATTGACTACACTCTATTACATACAAAACAACATCAAACTAATTTTTGGATGAAAAACAATCGAGCATCATCTGTCAACTCTAATCACTTTGTCAGTTCAGAACTTGTTCAAAGTGAAAGATTGTAAAACTTTTCTGAAATTATTTATTTTCGAAACACACAATATTTAATGGTATGTACTGCTTTCACATGCTTGCTTAGATCTACATTTATGATAGATAGTGCAGCAAGATGATTCAAGGGAGGCTTCAAAAGCACAAAAGAAGGGCCTTCATTGCTTTTTAATAAAGTCATTATTGAAATAAGATAGATATCATTAGAACATCCAATAGCTAGCATCCTTCCACAGAAGGGAAGGAGAAAAGAAAAGTAAAAGAGAAAAAAAGACTGGACAAATGGAGGATTTGGTTCTCTTTAGTTTTCAACTCTTTAATTCCGTCTCCTATCATGTGAAACACTTAACTCTGAGAAAAAAGGACCTATGGAATAATAAAGAAGAATAAGGCTTTTATGTTTTGTATGCCGGAAAAAATGTTGGGGATAACATCCTAATTTGATAATATATTTTGCAGCAGAGTTGATAGAGTCCCCATGGGAACGAGTAGCATTTCTCTTGCAATATAAATTGCAGTTTACAAAATCCTTTCTAAGCTTTTAATGTTAACGAACATGCTCTTACTTTCTTACAAAAGGAGGTCCTTGCTTGGAGACCATCTTGTATCACATGCTGCAAAAAGTAACTAGTTATTAAAAAAAAAACATAATGACCAACTTTGTGAGTTCACGTCTGAGAGTGGTGTGATTGATTTTGAGTAGTCGTCACATCCTGGCCAGTATCTCATCTGTAACAAATATGCAGGACATCTACAGAGTTGAAATCACAAGACACCGAGGAATCATCATCCCCAGCAAATTCAAAACGCATGATATCTCCTGTTTCTGATGGATCAAGAAATTCCATGGATAGAGCCAACGGTTCAGACATATCTTCAGCACCATCTAATGGAAGCAGCAAAAGAATCACTGAAAATTCATCAGGGTCAGGGAGAAAGCAATCTAAGAGGGTAGACTCATTCAGAGAAGAGGAGAGGGTGATCAAAATTGAAGAAAGTTAAGTGTTGTCTTTATTCTGTTTCTACCCATCTCCTTTTAAAGGTTTTTCATTTGGTTGTTCTCATAGTTTTCAGGTATTGATTGATGAGTTTGATTTAATTCAACAGGCTTGCTTCTGGAGCTCGGGTTATAATCCAGTCTAAACCATTTTGAGACACAGCTCTGAAATATTTTTGTTACAGATGTTAGGCAGCTAGCAAAAACTGCTAGTTTACAATTTTTGTTTGAAGGCAACATGATGGTGTATATCTATGTCTGTCCATGTGATGTATCCCTAAATGAACAAAGTGAAAATGTTGACAGATTATCGAGTGCATGGGGATTGGGGGGGCTAATAGTGAAGGTGTGGTCCCATGGTCTCCTATTACATCTTATAGGGACACCACCTGAAATCAAGTGATTGCACATTTTTTTGTCACTACACATACTTATATATATGGTATTATTTTGGCCTGCAGCTTTTGTTTGCTTAAAGTTAGTGCCTGCTACTTTGCTTGCGTTTCCATCTTCCAAGGCTAAAAATTGCCACACCAAAAAAGTGCATGGTCGTTTTCAAATATGTTGAATGTTAGATGTGAGATTGAACCTGACACATGCACTTGTATTAAACATTAAATGTCTGTCAGAAAATTACAGAAGAATATGGAATTGTGTTCTCAGAATAAGTTAATAATCACTATGTTTATGTAATCCTTTAGGGAGTCCTTACACTTAGCTCTTAATCTTATAAAAATAAACTCCTAGAAGCCTATAGAAAGAAACATGAAGGCTTTAAGCTTGCTAAAGTAGGGGTTGGTTTTTGGAACATTATGTAGATTTGTGATTGATAACAGTGCAATTCAAACATGGAATTTCGATGTAACAATAAAAGCTGTAACCCAAAAAGTAATGAGATTCTTAAGGTTACTATTTTATACCAAAATAATGTTGGTGTTCTGGAAATGGACAAGGGTTGTATTATTAATATTGTTATATTTACTTTCTGTTGTTAACATTCTTTTATACGTAGTTCTTTTTCCTTCACATTTATCTTTTAAGCTATATGCAAGTGGAATTTTTAAGCTATATGCAAATTGCAAAGAAATAAAAAGTGGCGGTGATCTGATCTGCAGTTTACTTAAAATGCTTTTGTCTGTTTATGGGATATAGTTTTCATGTGCATGTGTTACGAAGGTAAATTGAAAATCTCACACGAATAAAATAAACAATATATAATCTATAAATCTATTATTTTAAAGATTAAATATAATTTCTTACGAAGAATCCTCAACTTTTTTTTATGATTTTTGTTCTTTAATCTCTATTTAAAATTTACTCCTTGAAATTTACAATAAATCTGTTTTAATAAAAAAAAAATCTCATAACTTGTTTTTAATGATTTTTAATTACTCTGAATTTAAAAAAAAATTGAAATTAGTTTTTTACTTGTAATAATAATGATGACAATTACATTAGTGAAATGGGAAATAAGTAGGAAGGCTACAACAATCTTATCAACGAAATATTAATATTAATAATAATATTAATAATAATAATAATAAATGTGAGATATTGATAACCCTAATAAAGATGATAATGATCACAATAAGTAGAAAAGAAGAAGAGAGAAAGAGCACTATTTAAGTAGTTAGAATAGTAATATGCAATCACAAACAAGTTCTTATAATTTAAGAAGCGTGTTTTTAATGCTTAGAGGATGTTAATGAAAATGATTGGCATATTAAAAGAGGATCCCTCTTTCTTAGGGTAAGATTTAATGTTGATGTGCATGCCTTAGTTAGTCTTCAACTACCAAGATAACTTATTTGTGAAATTAAATTTGGTATTTTTTATTTGTATTTCATTTTTAGTTAGTTATTAATCATTTCTCTCGTCCAAAACTAATATTATTTTTAATAATTTTATAACTCTACAAGAAAATTATTAAATAACAACTAATTTAAAGATAAAAAATTATTAATCAAACTAAGTTAAACATTATTTTATAAATTAAAAATATCAGTATTTAAAATAATCTTTATCATTAATAAAAAAAATTATAATTAATTTATATGTATTAGAGTTTAAATTAGTTTCTAACCATAACTAGCAAAATAGAGAGTGGAGAGGAGCATTTAAGAAGTGTGGGAGAGGAACATAAACGACAAGAAATAAAAATTAAGGTTAGACTCCATTCTTTTATTTCTAAGATACTTCTTTCCAAATAGAGTTTGTTACATAAATTACTTCTTTCCAAATAATAGAGTTTATATCATAACGTGTTATTTTCTATTATCTATAATCTGAATTTTCAATTGCGGTTAGTTTTTTTTCCCTCAGTAAACGTTTTTCGTTCACAGTCACATCTAAATTAATATAACTTTTAGTTTTTTTATTAAACTTTTGCATATTAAATATGAATTAACCCTCAATTGTATGCTCATGAAAAGTTAAAAACATCATCAATGACATTCTTGAAACTAAAATATATTTTTCCTTAAAAATTATGTAGTTTAGAAAAAACCATCAATTTACGAAAATATATAAAAGTTAAATTCACTCCCAATGAACTCACAGTCTATTAATTTTTAACATCATAATGAGAATTCGCCACTGAATCAGAAGATGGTACAACGCAAAAGTGGAATGAGGAAAAGTTTTAATGTGAGATATTGTATAATAAAACTATGCATATGATTAATTTGAGGGTTACTTCCTCTTCTCTATCATTCATATTAGGAACTGAAAAATAATACAAATTTTGACTCAGTTTGGTTATACAAAAGAATAGAATGGATCATGCAACATTCCAGACATAGCATGAAATTAAGAAATTCACCATCATAAAATAAAACAAGCAATATATAATATGACGTACCCCACAATATTTTTTCATTTGTACATGCAAAATATTCCTGCTGCTTATTATTTCTAGAACCAAAACCAGAAAAAAATTCTTTTTTTTTTTAATGATACAACAACTATGAAGCTTATTATATAGCCGTGTTAGAATGAGATGAATTGAATTATTGGCTATGGTAAGTGGAAAATAAAATGTCTACAGTGGGTCATGGCACGTGTAAGTGTCACCTCACATTGTTGTCTCACACACTCCTTTGTGTGCCTTCCACAAGTATTATTCCAAAGCAATGATGTTCATTAAGAAATTCAAATTCTGCGTGTTGTTCTTCCTTCTCCTTTTTGTTAAAATTAGCTACCATAAAATAGAACTAAATAAGGCATCAAAACCGTCGTCAATGATGTCAGTTTAGATTCTCCTTCTGAAAAAAGAAAGGGTCAGAGGATCCAAAACTTCAATCATCTGATCAAGGTCAATGGGAGCAACATGTGTCTACTTGGTACAGTTATATATTTACTCTCGCTTTTTGACAGTTACATATGCAGTTCATATCTGCATGTTTTTTCTTTCTGTAACAAGTCAATAGTTAAAAAAAATTAAAATAATTTATCAATCATTGGCTAATTAAGCTAACATGCATGACTTATATAGACACGTTAATATTTGCATTAATTGGGGCAACCAAAAAGTTTTTTTTTTTTTTTCCGATTGAAATTCCTTATTCAAATAACTTAAAATTGTCTTGAAGATCGGATGGACTCTTTGGTAGTCATTCATAATCCAAGTTTCATTATTCTCTCTCTTTCTTGTTCAAGCTGTATGAATGGTTGTCTTGAAAATCCGATGGATTCTCTAGTAGTCATTCATCATCCGAGTTTCATTATTCTCTCTCTCCTTTTTGTTCAAGTTGTTGTATGGATGATTACATGTCAAAGACACTCTGACGCAATAATATAACCAATAGGTTAGCACAAGTTATATGTGCATAATGATCCTAAAGTCATACATGAGATCTTTATTTATAATAATTGTGATGAATTTTTATCTTTTGCTGGCTTAATCACAACTCAATTGCATTTTAATCTAGATTAGAAGCTTAATGAGTCATTACTACATATTAAGTACACTGAACACGACCTAAACTTGAGTGAACGGTTCGGATGGACGAGAAAACGGCCTGGATAGAAAATCTGAATACACTTTGATTAAAAAAGATTTTCTATATACACTGGTAGTACATAGTTCTTTTTTACTCATAGCACAGAAACTGTGGATTCCTTTTTATCAAATATTTGATATTTTTTTATAAAATAGGGAGTATTACTGTGGTGCAAAGTTTGACGGCTGTTATGATTGTGAAATCACTAACTTGCATCCACAGCACCTTCCATTTGCTTTATGAAATTTAAAATATGTGAGACACGTCATCATGTTCCCAGTAGATTCTGTTCACATTATAGCAGTTGTTCATCTGCATTTATTTATCCCGAAAATGTTGCAGTACTCAGCATAGAAAGTGACCCTTTTGTGATAATGATCTTGACAACAATACTGGCTTCAACTTCAATCAATATAAAAGTCGAGAAATGCTCATTACCCATATACAACCTCATCTAAAGCAGCATAAAATAGTGCTATTATTACCCATATTGATATGAAAATGACCAGCTTTATTTAAAATTGCTTCTGGAAAAAGGCTACTTAACACAGTTTAAAACTTTTACTTGAACACAGTTTTCTCAAAACTGCTTCTGCATTATTCTTGCTGTTGCCAGTTGTAATCATTCATCAGAATATATATATATATATGTGTGTGCAACAGTTGAAAAGTTTAGAGCGGCTGCAACTAGATTGATTTCGATTTATATATGCTTAAAATAAAATAAAAACATAATTAAAATGACAATTCATTTGTCTCGGAGTTGAATTTATGTTATATATAAACAGCCAAAGAAACTTANTTCCATTCCCAAAATCATGGTTTATCACATATTGCTGTTTGGTTTGTTGCAAATGGAACACACTAGTCATTAATTCGGAGAACTCTTGTTCATCGCTGAGGAAGCAAGTGCTTGAGGAGTGACCATTTTTTCTGTATTATTCTTTCAAAACTGAATAATGCTGGATTAGGCCACATTACCTTATAGATTGTGCCATAGTACAAAAATAGAAAATGCCTGAATCCGGTGTTAAAATGCTTGTTACTGAGTGTCCGGATTGAACCAAACAAAACGAATGATATTGTAGTTAGAAACACAAACGATCCTCTGAGATGCCAGTTAATCATTATTACCAATTCAAAACTCAGATGCATTGACTACACTCTATTACATACAAAACAACATCAAACTAATTTTTGGATGAAAAACAATCGAGCATCATCTGTCAACTCTAATCACTTTGTCAGTTCAGAACTTGTTCAAAGTGAAAGATTGTAAAACTTTTCTGAAATTATTTATTTTCGAAACACACAATATTTAATGGTATGTACTGCTTTCACATGCTTGCTTAGATCTACATTTATGATAGATAGTGCAGCAAGATGATTCAAGGGAGGCTTCAAAAGCACAAAAGAAGGGCCTTCATTGCTTTTTAATAAAGTCATTATTGAAATAAGATAGATATCATTAGAACATCCAATAGCTAGCATCCTTCCACAGAAGGGAAGGAGAAAAGAAAAGTAAAAGAGAAAAAAAGACTGGACAAATGGAGGATTTGGTTCTCTTTAGTTTTCAACTCTTTAATTCCGTCTCCTATCATGTGAAACACTTAACTCTGAGAAAAAAGGACCTATGGAATAATAAAGAAGAATAAGGCTTTTATGTTTTGTATGCCGGAAAAAATGTTGGGGATAACATCCTAATTTGATAATATATTTTGCAGCAGAGTTGATAGAGTCCCCATGGGAACGAGTAGCATTTCTCTTGCAATATAAATTGCAGTTTACAAAATCCTTTCTAAGCTTTTAATGTTAACGAACATGCTCTTACTTTCTTACAAAAGGAGGTCCTTGCTTGGAGACCATCTTGTATCACATGCTGCAAAAAGTAACTAGTTATTAAAAAAAAAACATAATGACCAACTTTGTGAGTTCACGTCTGAGAGTGGTGTGATTGATTTTGAGTAGTCGTCACATCCTGGCCAGTATCTCATCTGTAACAAATATGCAGGACATCTACAGAGTTGAAATCACAAGACACCGAGGAATCATCATCCCCAGCAAATTCAAAACGCATGATATCTCCTGTTTCTGATGGATCAAGAAATTCCATGGATAGAGCCAACGGTTCAGACATATCTTCAGCACCATCTAATGGAAGCAGCAAAAGAATCACTGAAAATTCATCAGGGTCAGGGAGAAAGCAATCTAAGAGGGTAGACTCATTCAGAGAAGAGGAGAGGGTGATCAAAATTGAAGAAAGTTAAGTGTTGTCTTTATTCTGTTTCTACCCATCTCCTTTTAAAGGTTTTTCATTTGGTTGTTCTCATAGTTTTCAGGTATTGATTGATGAGTTTGATTTAATTCAACAGGCTTGCTTCTGGAGCTCGGGTTATAATCCAGTCTAAACCATTTTGAGACACAGCTCTGAAATATTTTTGTTACAGATGTTAGGCAGCTAGCAAAAACTGCTAGTTTACAATTTTTGTTTGAAGGCAACATGATGGTGTATATCTATGTCTGTCCATGTGATGTATCCCTAAATGAACAAAGTGAAAATGTTGACAGATTATCGAGTGCATGGGGATTGGGGGGGCTAATAGTGAAGGTGTGGTCCCATGGTCTCCTATTACATCTTATAGGGACACCACCTGAAATCAAGTGATTGCACATTTTTTTGTCACTACACATACTTATATATATGGTATTATTTTGGCCTGCAGCTTTTGTTTGCTTAAAGTTAGTGCCTGCTACTTTGCTTGCGTTTCCATCTTCCAAGGCTAAAAATTGCCACACCAAAAAAGTGCATGGTCGTTTTCAAATATGTTGAATGTTAGATGTGAGATTGAACCTGACACATGCACTTGTATTAAACATTAAATGTCTGTCAGAAAATTACAGAAGAATATGGAATTGTGTTCTCAGAATAAGTTAATAATCACTATGTTTATGTAATCCTTTAGGGAGTCCTTACACTTAGCTCTTAATCTTATAAAAATAAACTCCTAGAAGCCTATAGAAAGAAACATGAAGGCTTTAAGCTTGCTAAAGTAGGGGTTGGTTTTTGGAACATTATGTAGATTTGTGATTGATAACAGTGCAATTCAAACATGGAATTTCGATGTAACAATAAAAGCTGTAACCCAAAAAGTAATGAGATTCTTAAGGTTACTATTTTATACCAAAATAATGTTGGTGTTCTGGAAATGGACAAGGGTTGTATTATTAATATTGTTATATTTACTTTCTGTTGTTAACATTCTTTTATACGTAGTTCTTTTTCCTTCACATTTATCTTTTAAGCTATATGCAAGTGGAATTTTTAAGCTATATGCAAATTGCAAAGAAATAAAAAGTGGCGGTGATCTGATCTGCAGTTTACTTAAAATGCTTTTGTCTGTTTATGGGATATAGTTTTCATGTGCATGTGTTACGAAGGTAAATTGAAAATCTCACACGAATAAAATAAACAATATATAATCTATAAATCTATTATTTTAAAGATTAAATATAATTTCTTACGAAGAATCCTCAACTTTTTTTTATGATTTTTGTTCTTTAATCTCTATTTAAAATTTACTCCTTGAAATTTACAATAAATCTGTTTTAATAAAAAAAAAATCTCATAACTTGTTTTTAATGATTTTTAATTACTCTGAATTTAAAAAAAAATTGAAATTAGTTTTTTACTTGTAATAATAATGATGACAATTACATTAGTGAAATGGGAAATAAGTAGGAAGGCTACAACAATCTTATCAACGAAATATTAATATTAATAATAATATTAATAATAATAATAATAAATGTGAGATATTGATAACCCTAATAAAGATGATAATGATCACAATAAGTAGAAAAGAAGAAGAGAGAAAGAGCACTATTTAAGTAGTTAGAATAGTAATATGCAATCACAAACAAGTTCTTATAATTTAAGAAGCGTGTTTTTAATGCTTAGAGGATGTTAATGAAAATGATTGGCATATTAAAAGAGGATCCCTCTTTCTTAGGGTAAGATTTAATGTTGATGTGCATGCCTTAGTTAGTCTTCAACTACCAAGATAACTTATTTGTGAAATTAAATTTGGTATTTTTTATTTGTATTTCATTTTTAGTTAGTTATTAATCATTTCTCTCGTCCAAAACTAATATTATTTTTAATAATTTTATAACTCTACAAGAAAATTATTAAATAACAACTAATTTAAAGATAAAAAATTATTAATCAAACTAAGTTAAACATTATTTTATAAATTAAAAATATCAGTATTTAAAATAATCTTTATCATTAATAAAAAAAATTATAATTAATTTATATGTATTAGAGTTTAAATTAGTTTCTAACCATAACTAGCAAAATAGAGAGTGGAGAGGAGCATTTAAGAAGTGTGGGAGAGGAACATAAACGACAAGAAATAAAAATTAAGGTTAGACTCCATTCTTTTATTTCTAAGATACTTCTTTCCAAATAGAGTTTGTTACATAAATTACTTCTTTCCAAATAATAGAGTTTATATCATAACGTGTTATTTTCTATTATCTATAATCTGAATTTTCAATTGCGGTTAGTTTTTTTTCCCTCAGTAAACGTTTTTCGTTCACAGTCACATCTAAATTAATATAACTTTTAGTTTTTTTATTAAACTTTTGCATATTAAATATGAATTAACCCTCAATTGTATGCTCATGAAAAGTTAAAAACATCATCAATGACATTCTTGAAACTAAAATATATTTTTCCTTAAAAATTATGTAGTTTAGAAAAAACCATCAATTTACGAAAATATATAAAAGTTAAATTCACTCCCAATGAACTCACAGTCTATTAATTTTTAACATCATAATGAGAATTCGCCACTGAATCAGAAGATGGTACAACGCAAAAGTGGAATGAGGAAAAGTTTTAATGTGAGATATTGTATAATAAAACTATGCATATGATTAATTTGAGGGTTACTTCCTCTTCTCTATCATTCATATTAGGAACTGAAAAATAATACAAATTTTGACTCAGTTTGGTTATACAAAAGAATAGAATGGATCATGCAACATTCCAGACATAGCATGAAATTAAGAAATTCACCATCATAAAATAAAACAAGCAATATATAATATGACGTACCCCACAATATTTTTTCATTTGTACATGCAAAATATTCCTGCTGCTTATTATTTCTAGAACCAAAACCAGAAAAAAATTCTTTTTTTTTTTAATGATACAACAACTATGAAGCTTATTATATAGCCGTGTTAGAATGAGATGAATTGAATTATTGGCTATGGTAAGTGGAAAATAAAATGTCTACAGTGGGTCATGGCACGTGTAAGTGTCACCTCACATTGTTGTCTCACACACTCCTTTGTGTGCCTTCCACAAGTATTATTCCAAAGCAATGATGTTCATTAAGAAATTCAAATTCTGCGTGTTGTTCTTCCTTCTCCTTTTTGTTAAAATTAGCTACCATAAAATAGAACTAAATAAGGCATCAAAACCGTCGTCAATGATGTCAGTTTAGATTCTCCTTCTGAAAAAAGAAAGGGTCAGAGGATCCAAAACTTCAATCATCTGATCAAGGTCAATGGGAGCAACATGTGTCTACTTGGTACAGTTATATATTTACTCTCGCTTTTTGACAGTTACATATGCAGTTCATATCTGCATGTTTTTTCTTTCTGTAACAAGTCAATAGTTAAAAAAAATTAAAATAATTTATCAATCATTGGCTAATTAAGCTAACATGCATGACTTATATAGACACGTTAATATTTGCATTAATTGGGGCAACCAAAAAGTTTTTTTTTTTTTTTCCGATTGAAATTCCTTATTCAAATAACTTAAAATTGTCTTGAAGATCGGATGGACTCTTTGGTAGTCATTCATAATCCAAGTTTCATTATTCTCTCTCTTTCTTGTTCAAGCTGTATGAATGGTTGTCTTGAAAATCCGATGGATTCTCTAGTAGTCATTCATCATCCGAGTTTCATTATTCTCTCTCTCCTTTTTGTTCAAGTTGTTGTATGGATGATTACATGTCAAAGACACTCTGACGCAATAATATAACCAATAGGTTAGCACAAGTTATATGTGCATAATGATCCTAAAGTCATACATGAGATCTTTATTTATAATAATTGTGATGAATTTTTATCTTTTGCTGGCTTAATCACAACTCAATTGCATTTTAATCTAGATTAGAAGCTTAATGAGTCATTACTACATATTAAGTACACTGAACACGACCTAAACTTGAGTGAACGGTTCGGATGGACGAGAAAACGGCCTGGATAGAAAATCTGAATACACTTTGATTAAAAAAGATTTTCTATATACACTGGTAGTACATAGTTCTTTTTTACTCATAGCACAGAAACTGTGGATTCCTTTTTATCAAATATTTGATATTTTTTTATAAAATAGGGAGTATTACTGTGGTGCAAAGTTTGACGGCTGTTATGATTGTGAAATCACTAACTTGCATCCACAGCACCTTCCATTTGCTTTATGAAATTTAAAATATGTGAGACACGTCATCATGTTCCCAGTAGATTCTGTTCACATTATAGCAGTTGTTCATCTGCATTTATTTATCCCGAAAATGTTGCAGTACTCAGCATAGAAAGTGACCCTTTTGTGATAATGATCTTGACAACAATACTGGCTTCAACTTCAATCAATATAAAAGTCGAGAAATGCTCATTACCCATATACAACCTCATCTAAAGCAGCATAAAATAGTGCTATTATTACCCATATTGATATGAAAATGACCAGCTTTATTTAAAATTGCTTCTGGAAAAAGGCTACTTAACACAGTTTAAAACTTTTACTTGAACACAGTTTTCTCAAAACTGCTTCTGCATTATTCTTGCTGTTGCCAGTTGTAATCATTCATCAGAATATATATATATATATGTGTGTGCAACAGTTGAAAAGTTTAGAGCGGCTGCAACTAGATTGATTTCGATTTATATATGCTTAAAATAAAATAAAAACATAATTAAAATGACAATTCATTTGTCTCGGAGTTGAATTTATGTTATATATAAACAGCCAAAGAAACTTACGGGTTGGATTTGATGCAAAGAGCTGCATTTTACAACGTAAACAACTAAAGTTCAAATATTCACTACAATATATGTTAAGTGTGAGATATGAGAGTAAAATAGTTTCTGAAAGAAAATACATGCAAGTAGCAACAAAAAACTATCTAGTGTACAAGCAGGTTTCATCTTTTGGTCCTTTGACAGATACTAACCAAATAATCAGAGAAAAAAAAATGAAAGGCGTCTCTACCTGAGTTAATTAACAATGGTGCAAATAAAATAATAGACCTTGGTGACATGAAAGGAAACTCTTGTTATTCCATTCACACCAAAACTATATATTAATAATCATGTCAACCTTCTATATATATTAGGATCAGGCCTCTAACTACCCAAGCTCTAGCTGTGAACGCTATGGATGCAATTCATCAAGACACACAGGCGTACATCAATGATTTTGAGCTGTACGACTTCGTGGACAATCCAAATTTTGATCAGTTCATCAATTTGATCCGAGGGGAGAATGAAGATGCTAACTGTGACTTCGGTTCTGACCTCATCACTGATTGTTTTGTTAACAATCAGCTCCTTCCATGCCCTGCAAACCCTTTTGACCAGAACTATAACAATGCTGTGAATGTCTATGATCAGAGCTCCACATTTAGCTCCTTTTCATGC